TTTTCCTAAGGACACATGTGGCGAAAAACCCTAACCCAGCCTCTCCCTGGCCTGTGACATACCTCCATGCCACACCCTGCCTGGAACCCAGCACTCAGACTAGACTGGACTGGCACACTCTGAGTTACCTGGAACTTGGCACCTTACCTCCTTGCCTTTGCCCACACTTCCTTCTGCCTGGACACCCTTGTCCTCTCCTTCGCTGAACTCCTATGGGCTCGTCTGTCCTCAGCTCTTGCCACCTCCCAGTAAAGCCCTCCTGACCTTTCCCTCCCATTATGAGGACTGGAATTAGCACTGGTCACTTCAGAGCCTGGGAACAAGACATTGCTGACAGCAAGCCAGCAACCTGGGGAGGGCCAAGGTGAGGCTGAAGAGGTTGGTGAGAGCTGGAGCCGGCCTCTGCAGAGCTGGAGAGCTCCAGAGAACCCAGAGAATGCTGGGGCACAGTGATCAGGCTCTGTAGACCAACCTGGCCTTGGCTGCAGTAGCCAGAGCAAGGCAGGGAGTCAGGAATAAGGCCGGGCATGGGGGCTTGGCCCAGGCTTCCCAACCTGGGGATCCCCCAACCTCTGCTTCCATATGGATAAATCGCGGTGCAGCTATGGGCACCACTTACACCCATCTTGCCCCTCAACACAGCTGGCTCAGGTGTTGGCTGTGCTGTGTCAGCCCCCCAGTGTTTCCTGGGGATTAGTTGAACTGAAGTCTCCCCATCTGGAAATCCACCTAAATCCAGCAGGGAACATCTCCTGCTCTCAACCCCTTCCCTCAGAACCCCAAAGCTCAGGGAGGGCCCTACTGATCCTCAGACTGGCCTCCAGGGGGCGCCAGTGTCAATTCCAATGTTAGAAATCCCAGCTACCCTCCTTTCTTGGATGAAAAAGGACCATCCTGTACACCTCGGCTTGGAGACCTTAGGCTGAAGGGAGTGGGGAACAGGCAAAACTGACAGGAGGGGGTAGATCTAAGGAGGACAGGGACAGGCTTGCTGCATGGTTGGGGTGCTCCAGGGCCGGGGTGGGAGGTGGGCAGGGATCACCCCCCTCACCCGCTTCCCTGCTTCGGGAACACTCTCCTTGCCTTTGGGGTGTCTGCGGGGTCTGGGACTCCCACCCACCCCGGGTCACCTCATCTCAACCTGGGGCTCAGTTTCCCTCTTTGCTATCACCCCATTGTCAAGGCCGCTGGGGTGGATGCTGTGGCCTTGCCAGAATCATCCTTGGGGCAAGATCAGGACCTCAGGCTGCGCAAGGCTCGGAGGCTCCTGAGTCTCCCCGATCCCCTTGTCCCCGTGCACTACCTATGGAGGCCTCGTGAGAGGCAGCACTCCCAGCTACCTTCACTTTCAGCTTTTGCTCCATGAGGATCTTGCAATTTCTGCCCCACTATAAGGCAGCCAGAGCCTCGAGCCCAGTGCCCAGGACCAAGGGTGCCACGACAGACTCTCCCCATGTCAGGGTGTTTCCATACAGCCCCCAGGCTGACCTGTCTCCCCAGTCTCATCTCTGGTACCCCAAGCTCAGCAGCACCCTGTCTGAACCTGGCAGGCCTCTCCCCTCCCACTTCCAGCCCCCCACCTCCAGCACGGCAGAACCAGTCTTCCAAAGTTAAGTCCCATCTCTGCCACTCACCGGCAGTATGGCCTTGGGGAGTCCCAAACCCCTCTGAACCTCAGTTTCCCCAACTGTAAAATGGAGATGATAAAAAGAGAACCTTCCTCCTGAGGCTGTTGTGAAGGTTAAAGGAATGAATGCATGTGAAACCACAGCCATGGTTATTTCTGAGGCACACCACCCTTCTGGCTGGGGGTTGGGGAGTGGGGTGGGTTGCAGCCAGCACGTGTGCGGAATGGGGGCAGGTTGTCAGAGGTCAAGGGCAACGGGCCAAGCAACGCCATCTCCCCAGGGACGGGGCAGTGGCAACAATCACGCTGTGGAAACCACACGTGGCCACAGAGGGATGCAGAGGCACATCTCCCCTGCAGGCCTGGGCCCCACACCCACCTGCATGAATGTGACCCACACCGGCCCTGGTCCTGCCCCTGGTGAGACTCAGCCTCCCTGAGCTTCCCCATCTGTAAAATGAAGGGGCAGCTGTGCTCACCCCCCTGAGTGGGGTGGGTCCTAAATAAAGGATGCCCTTGGAAGGCTGGATCAGCCTGGCACAGGGGATTGTTACTACTGTCATTATTGTCAGTCTTACAGGAGGAAAGCAAGGTCCAGAAAGGGGAGAGATGGCAAAAAAGAGGACCCAACAGGAGCCACCAAAAGAGTGATCATAGGACCACAGAGTTGGTGGGCCCTGATGTGTTTAATGATAGATGTGACATCACTTCTCTGGAATGTGTCATTCATTCATTTCCCACATAGTCTCTAAGTTCCAGTTTGCTAGAGGGACAAGCTCTACCTGACCACAATGCAAAGATCTGGACAGTCAGGACAATAAAATACCAGAGCCAGAATATCGAGGCATGATCAACTCTGGGAAGGCTGGTCGGGGAGGGCTTCCTGGAGGACGGTACTCAACACCAGGGTGCACCATGATTTATGGGGACCCAAAAAGTTCTCCTGCTATAATGACAGGTGGGAAAGAGAAAATGTAATAAAATATCATTTAAAATAGAACGTATGTGTGTATGGGGAGAGGGGAGGGAGGGAGGGAGCTAGGAGACCTGGGAGACTGAACCCCCAAAGCGAATCAAGGTATCTGTGGGCCAGTCGGTAGTGTCTTGGGTTTTCTTTCTTGGGAAGGTTTCTCCGGGCGATTCAACTTCCCCCACGCCACCCACGGATGGTTAGAAGACTTAGGAAAGAAAGAAAAGGAAAAAGAATTCCGCCCGGTGCGCAGCCCAGCTTGGCGCCCCTCGTGGGCCGCGACTATCCCCGGGGACCAAGACGCCGCCGGGGGCGTCCACACCCAGAAAGGACCCGGCCGCCTCCCCACACTCCGCCACCCACATCTGGACCCCTGACCCCGGGCCGCTCCCACCTGCCCCCCGGGGGCGCTGGGCGCCGGGCTCCCGGGCCGC